TCTACCCTACAGAAAAAACTGTAAAGAAAGACTGCCATTGGGCAACCCGACTAATTTCTTCACTCCTATACCCAGCTCGATGATCGATCTGTTGTGTTGCTGGCAATACGGGCTGAGTGGTGCGGGCCCAGGGCAGATCTTGGCAGTAGTTACCGAGTCTTGGGTGAGACCTCCGGAGGTCGTAGTCAGGAAGGGGTCCCCTGCGCGCCGCAGTTTGGGACGGCCTGCCGCACAACCAGCACTGCGGCAGCCTCCCACTGACACCCTTTTTCTCTGGCCTGATTCACTATTTTATGGGCCCCAAGCTGCACTCCTTCCGCAGGTAGCGGCCCCAAAATCGAGCGCATGGTTCAGCTGCAGGCCTAGGTGTGGGTCGGAATGGGCCGGGTTTAAGTCCGATATAGTAACTAACATTTACTTGAGAACTTTAAATACCAAAGTGGAGAAGGTTCCGCAACTGGCTGCGACGCCTACCCGCTCGTATGCACGTTGACTTCCTCGGCCCGCGTCCCTGGGATAGAGAAGTTTCCCCCAACACCCCGAATCCGCAAAAAACCTGTAGCCTAACTAATGGATGCACCTGCTCAAGGTCCTTGATTGTCGTAACGACCATTAATTTCGACGTTGCATCCAAGTCAAGAGGACGCTGGAGCATAAAAAGTACTAGACATATGGCGCTAAATTGAATTATTTAGAAAATGTCACCGTCGATCGGACGCCGCCAACGGCCAAACCAAGGGGGATAGCCATGTTGGCCTTCCGATCCCTCGGTCGCTTCGCACTACTTTGATATTCCTCCATTGTCGCCGCTCGATCTCGATCCCTGAATCTCCTTGATGAAAGTCCGATGCTATAGCCAATAATGCCAGGTCCCCGTCTGGGTCTAGCTTTGACGGATACTTAAATAAATCGATTCTACGCGACGCGCAGACCTACCGAAACGTTCTAAAATTTCACGTTGTTGTCGATGCCGTCCTCCACACGTACGCACGGGTCACCGGTAAGTGCATCGACCAAACAGCAAAAAATTGTTTATTCCTTGCTTAATAAAAAAGAAAATTTGGTCGGCGACCACTCCGGTCCTTCAATCATCAAAAGAAAAAAAAAAGGGATCACGCGCGCCTTCAGTCTGCGCACCCACTCACTCTCTACTCTAGTCAACCATCCTATTAATGTAAGCCACAGATTCCGCCGCGCCTCGCGCGGTATACTTGAACTTTAAATCAAACTGAATTTCTGTTGCTTGCAAAAACCAGGGCGGATACCCTTATAAGGGTGTTCGCCCCGACACCGTAAATGTGTCATGTATAATAGCATAGTCTACCATGGACGAGAGAAGGTTAACGGAGACCCTAATTTTCAGACCACTTGCCATGCCATTTATATGAAAACCAAAGGGTCATTTTAATCAAACTTGCCACCAATTCGTAGAGTGGAGACCATACTAACTAACTGCAAAAAAAAATCCAACAAAAAAAATAAAAAAACATATAAAACAGCAAGGCAAAAGTGCATTTTCATGAAATTTCGCCAACATCTCAATTTCAGAAATCTTGAGAAATTTCAGAAATCTTAACAGAGGAAATTCCAATTCTCCAAATGACAAAATTTGGCACACACCAACCTTGAACCAAAACAAGAACAGGCAAAAAAAAAAACAAAAAAAAAAACCCATAAAATTTGAGTCTGAAACCCTAATTTCAGTTTTGGACTCGTTACCCAGGGCCTGAAAATGGGGGTCCCCGTTAACCATTTATGCTGGATGCAAGGTGGCACCATCTTATCGCAAATGCGTATTTCCTTAGCAAGAGGAGGCCATGAGTGTCATTCAACGGCCTCTGGTAGTCGAAGGATGCTATGAAATCATATGGTGCGAGCAACATTATGATGCACATGCCCACCCTTAAGAAAATATAGCAATGGAACTGGATCATGTGCAAGACTGAAATACGATCAACGTTAATATTTGTAAGCCATGAATCATGCACTCCAGTGGACAAACGTTTGCTGTGGGCTCAACATTGAAACTGTGTCTGCAGCCATCGCAGTTTATGTAGTTTGCCCAACATATGTGCAACCATAAGGTGTGTGAAGCATAGCATAGATAACCCCAGGATCCAAAAGAGCATCCATTCCTAGGTGAATGGGGCTCTGATAAATACCCCATAATTGCAGCTTAAATTATTCCGTGCACGCTGCATGACAGTGCATGTGCGTGTGTTTTAGATTTTCACCACAACAGCCCCTATTCCAACCAGATGACTATAACCAAAATTGAAGCAACTTCCGTTCTATTGCAGACAGTGAAGCACATTTGAGTTGAGACATTCCAACAATGAAACAGTTTTAACTCTATAGCAAGCAACATGGAGCACAACAAATCCGTCGAAATCCCTTCGTCAACTATGTTTACTTTGGCTTTCTTTGGGGTACCCCTTTCATTTTTCTTGCAGCTCCCCTTTTACCACACCTCTTACGTACAAGGCTGGCAACGTTGATTGTGGTTGAGCGCCGGCTGCCCACACCCCCGTCATCCCGTGTTTGGGTTGCAGAAGATTTGGAGTCGAGGAGCAGTTGTTGCCTATGGTAAGTTGCCACCCCTACAAACCGGACAGGACCGATTTGGGTGTGGACTGTCGAAGCACCACATCCAATTCTCGCATTCGCGGTTGCTGCATCGAATGGCGCGGCGTAGACAGATGTCACAGGCTATGTGTTTCCTACAAGCTAGGAACATAGAGGCATGCCGACAGCAATTGTAGAGGCATTGACATACCATCCCCTGTCTACAAACTGGGCATGACATGTCAGGGTGCCATACATGAGGACAGTATTGACTCCATACGTATGAAGACAAAAACTCGTATGGGCTATCCCTTCACAATCCTCACGGCGCAAGGCAGCCAAACCATATGCTAGCCGAATCTCAGACAGGTCATCGCAGAGCACCATTGGGCAGGTTTTTGGGTTTCCCCAGTACTTATTCCCTCTCTACGGGTAGACGACAATGGGGGAGATTGATCCAAAGCAAGGGTGTTAGCATGGTTGCTAACCGGACGTCCGTATCCCGATCCAGACAGTCAGGTGTTCGGTGTCCGGTTTGGAGGGTCTGGTTGGACCCTCATTTCAAGAAATCCGAAAAGAAAATTTGGGGTCCCCAGGCCATTTTCCTGCGCCTGAGGTGCCCCAGACAATTGTTGCTGTAGTTTTTTGTCGACCGTCGCCCCAACCGGACCGGCCCTGAAGGGCCCGCTGTTGGAGAACTTCGGAGGGCAGTGGCAGCCGCAGTATCCTGGCGTTGGTTTCCCGCCGTCGGGAGGACCCTATTTTCGAATGAACCGCCTCGTGCAGCAGCGCTCCCTCTGGTGTAGCAGTGCTCTCCTCGAACTTCCCGCCCGCTGCAGCCACACCATCACCAGCTCGAGCTTCTCCATCGCCCAGGAGTCCGGGAGATTGCCGCCGACGAGGAGGTTGCTGTCTTGCCGGTTCAAGATTCGAAGTTCCGAACTTTGATGAAGTTCGGAACATCGAAGTTCTTGGGGGCTGGAGCGGTGTGGAACTTTGCTGTGTGTGTGTGTTTTCGTGTCATGTGTGCCGGTTCAAGATTCGAAGTTCCGAACTTTGATGAAGTTCGGAACATCGAAGTTCTTGGGGGCTGGAGCGGTGTGGAACTTTGCTGTGTGTGTGTGTTTTCGTGTCATGTGTGCCGGTTCAAGATTCGAAGTTCCGAACTTTGAAGTTCGTATGTTAATTTCCAAATTTATTAGCATGTTGACCTGTCCCACAAACCTGTTTGTGTCTGTGTTCGTGTCACGTGCACCGTTCCTTTTTTTTTTTTTTGTCACCGGACAACCGGACACTGATACACCCAACCGGACTGTCCGGGTCCGGTTGTTTGGATGTCCGGTTAGATGTACGGTTAACCGGACATCTGGTTTAATCCAGACAAGGGTCCGGTGACTGTGTCTGGTTGTCTGGATGTCGTGTCCGGGGCAACCATAGTGTTTAGCTGCTGCAGGATTTGGCCTGCAACAGCTCGCCCTGGTGGTGATAACCTTTCAGTACAGTGCTCTGTGGGTGGTTCATATGGTAGTCTATTTTCCCCCTCAGGCTGCTGCGTCTGTCGTTTGTCTGGCAAGGAAGAGGGAAATCCGTCTGCTGTTGCAGCAGAGGTGTATGCCCAACACTGCATGTGGGACATACTAGGAGAGGATGTGGCGGATGATGGCATCAGGGTAGAGACACATGCTGTCTACGACATCTTCGTGGAAACATGTGTGTGTGTGTGTGTG